GCTCTTAAGGAAGAGGTGTTCATCCGTAGCGCCCACAAAAGAAAACCCGAGCGACGACACGCATTTCATCATCCCCACATGCTATGTGCATCGCCTGGATTCGCGCGCGGGCCCTCTCCCCCCTGACAAATCCCCATTTCCATGCAAAAAAGACCGGGCGAGGGGGGGTACTTGTCCTCTCCGTTCTGTCGATGATATCCCCCCCCCCGTTTTTCGCGGGGTGTCCTGCCTGCTTGTTGGTCCCCTTTCACCCCCCCTCCTCTCTGTGTATTAGCGCGCTCCCTCCAGAAGGGAGAGACGGGAATCCTCCCACACCCACACACGCACGCATCTGCCCAAGACGAACCTCCCCCCCCCCCACCCCCGCGAGGGAGAACCCGTTCCGGTGGCTGCCCCAATGTGCGATACCAGCCCCCTCCCCCCCTCCACCCTTGTGATATGAATAGCAACAATATTAGAAATGCAATGCTCTCCACTGGTTTGTCGTGCACGCCCATACGTCCACCGATTGGGAACTAGCCCCCACGCCGCTCCCTCTCCACCTCCTTTCCCTCATCAGCGTGGCGGCGCTCTTTTTCTGCCTCTCTTCTCCCCTCCTCAGCTGGTGGGGCGGCCGCGCGGTTGGCAATAACTCGGTCACATGATCTGGCCGATCGATCGAACAAACAATCCCCAACCGCTTGTTGTAGCCCCCGGCCGGGCTTGAAGGCCGCGATTCCGAACCGCACCCACCTGCGCAGGCAACAGCTTTGAGCACCTGGGGCGTCTGTCTGGAAGTTCTCGCCTGCCTGAACAAGACTCTCTCCCTCTCTCTCTCTCTCTCTCTCTGTCTCTCCCCCATCCCGCTGTCACCTTGTCCCCCTAGCCCCTACCCTGGCTGTCGATCCGCTCGATCACTCCCCCCCCCCCCCGCGCGTCGGCTGCCCAACTCTCCTGTACGATATATAGACTCGCGGCCCGAAGAAGCCATGGCGGTGCAGCTCCTGTCGCTCCCGCGGCCAGGGGAGTCTCTCGCGGAGATGTCCGTGTCACCGGGTCTTGCCGTGGCCTGGGGCCTCTTCATTGGAGTGTCCTTTGTGGCCAGTTTCTTTTTCCTGCGCGTACCGCCGGCCGCTTCGCGCGATGACCCAACTGTCATCATGGCCCGCATCAAGGCGGTGTCCGCATCTATTGTCATCTCTCTGGTGCTGACGTATCTGCTGTTAAACTATCTTGGGGTCGAGGTACGATCATGGCGACTGCGAGGGGGAAGGGGGGAGGGAGGGACGCACTGGCGCCCTCCTCCCACTCCAGGACTCTGTGTATTTATCTCTCCCTTGCCCAAGTTCGCCCCGCCCTATGTGTGTGTATTGACATTTATCCCCCGGACACACACACACACACACACACACATGTGCATTTGTGCACATATGAAAAAACCATCAGGACCCCGCCGCATTGATGGGCTTCCGGTGGACCGGACTCGGCCTGGCGCTGGTGCTTCCCATCCCCCTGTTTATGTGCTTCTTCCTCGGATCGTTTGTCCTGGCCTACTTTGAGCTCGAGCTCCCGGGGCAGATGTACTTCAACTTTTCCCGTGACGTGGTCGCCCCTCTTTCTGAGCCGTCTGGGTGGCGCAATTGGATTTTCGTGCGCATACACCTGCTCGCCAGGCTGTTCGCAGATGCACACCATGCCGACCCCCGCGACTGACCTCCCGCCCCTTGCCCCCCCCCCCCCCTCCTTGCCTGGTCTCCCTCTCAGGCTCCCTTCGCAGAAGAGTTGGCCTTCCGCTCGTGCATCTTCCCGCTGATGTTCCTTTCTGGCTTTCGGTCGCCGTGGATTCACCTTCTGGTGAGTTTGTACTTTGGCGTGGCGCATCTGAACCATCTGCGGGACATTCGGGCGCGGAACATTGCCGCCAAGCATCCCCGGCCGACGGTGGCCGCCCTCGTGGTGGTGCTGGTGCAACTGGTATACACGTCCATCTTTGGCACCTTGGCCGCGTATATCTACTACCGCACTGGGCACATCCTGGCGGCCATCATGTCGCACGTCGTGTGCAATGTCATGGGCTTCCCCAGCTTTGGCCAGATCCAGAACCACCCGAAGCAGGCCTGGCGTGCGTTCTCTCCCCTGCCGTGCCCCTCCATTTCCCTCGTCCCTCCCCCCCCCCCCCCCCCCCCCCTCTCTTCTTTTCTCATCCCTGCCACATGCGCCCGCTGCCTCCACTCACCAGGCCACCCGTCTGCCATCAGTAATTTGGGCCTCCTTCGCCCTGGGGATTGGCATCTTCTGCCTTCTGCTTGGGCCTCTTACGGACCCGGTCCTCTTTGGAAATGGGGTTTTCTTCCACCTTGCATGAGTTCCAAGGGCAAGGAGGGGGTCAATATACTCCCATCAAATGTGACCCTCCGGAGGGGCATTGCCAGACAGTGGCCTGAGGGGAGCGGACTGAGGTATATCGTGCGTGTGTGTGTGTGTGTGTGTGTGTGTGCGTGTGCGCGCGCGCGCATATGACAAGATGAAGGCCGGGGGGGGGCCTCATCTCCCGAGGAAGGCAGCCCAGCCACGCGTGGCCGCCGGCTCCTGCGATGCGCGGGTAATCTGCACGCCAACAGTGGCACCGACGGACAGGCCCTCTCCGGCCGGCCGGGGGGTCTGGTAAAAGGCGGTCAGCGACCGGGCCCCAAGAGCCGCGGCGGACTTGGCCTTGCGGGCCGCAATGACCGGCTTAGGCATCGGAAAGGGACGGCCTCCGGGTGCATTAGTCGCGGCGGCGGTGGCCACTGTCGACAAATCGAAGAGGAACCCGGCGCGGGCCTGGCAATGGGCAGCCACACGGGACTCCGTCCAACTGACCTCGGACGCGGCTGGCCCCATGCTCCGTGTCATGGTGGACACGGTCTTCTCGGCGGTGGACCAGGAGAATCGCCCAGGCCCGGGCAGGACCAAAAGCGGGTCCGACACCAGCACCGGCTCCAGGGACGGGTCCCCGGCAAGGGGGGCGACATTCTTGGCATTGGCTGGTGGTTGGAGGATTTGAGCTGGCGAGGCGCGGCGCACACAGGCCAGCGAGTAGGCTGCCCCGTGGCCAGCACCCTCCAGGGCCTGGAGGTAGTGCCGGGTGATGGCATCGGTGGGGTAGCCAGAACCAAAGCGCCTCAGCGGGTGGACTCGCACCCCGGGGGGAGGGTCAGTCACCGGCGTGGCCACGGTGTCGGCGGCGGTCGCCGCGTTGGCCGCGCCTATTTCCGCGTCTCCCGACGGGGCGGCTTCGATAGATCCCGAGCCATTGAATGTCGGCGCCATGCCAGTCACCGAGCCATCGGCCGGATGGAGGAAGGGAGCCCATGTGGAGGAAAGCGCAGCAATGCCAGCCACAAAGAGGGGGGCCAAGTCCGTGCGCCAGTCCTCCGCATGCAGGGGAACCACCCGGCAGGCGGCCGACGAGAAGGCCAAAAAGTCCGGCACGGGAGTGCCGTCGGGCCGGGGCCGACCGAGCAGCCCGGCATTGGCCAGGCGCCGGAGAGCGCCATAGAAGGGACTTGTGGCTGGGTGGCCATCGGATTGGCCGGGGGGCTGCTCGGCCGGGCGCAGGTCGTGATAGGGCCAATGGGCCAAGGCATGATCGCGGATCTGCTTGGCTATGATGGACGCGGCGCCGGCCACACCGAAGTGGGCATCCGCATGCTCGGCCACCGTCAGCCGGCCGATGTGCACTGGGGACCTGCGCCGGGGCTGCCCAGACCCAGGGTCGAATCCAGGCCCGGCTCCGGCGCCCAGCCACCGCGCCCACAGGGACCCGGTGTCAAGGGCACTTGCGGGGCCAGTGCGCCCGGTGTCCGCCAGCCGGGCCAACACCCCGTGTGCGTACTTGACGCCGCCATCGGCACCCAGCGAATCGCACACCACCCGACGGATGTCGGCTCCGCGCTCAAGGGCAAAGTGCAACACCAGTCGGGCTACTGTTGCATGGGCCAAGGTGTCGATGGATTGCTCGCTGTGGCGCACCGCCGGGGAGGAGGGGAGGGGGGGGCGAGGTGGAGAGCAGGAGGGTACGCGCGATCAGTTTCCCCCCTTGCCCCGGAGGCCGAAGGTGATTGAGAGAGAGAGGCTGGGAGAGAGGGAGAGAGGGAGCGAGAGATGGAGAGATGCATGGGTCGACGGAGGTGATAGGACGAACCGTCCGAGCATATAGTGACTAATCTCACCCGGGGAGAGAGAGATGGCCGCCCAGGCGGAGCCAGCCAGCTCCGGCGGGCCCCCGCTGGGGCGATCGTCCCGACAGGCGGGGCAGGGGGTCGGGGCATCCGCGGCACCGCCGACAACCCCATGGCAGACGTGTCGGCGGATGCCTGGGCCCTCGGTGGCGTGGATGATGGAGGAGAAAAGGGCCAGGCGCATGGGGGCTGTGACGACCTTCGAGTCGCGGAAGCCAAAGTCCCGGAGGGTCTTGTCAGCGGCGACAAGGGCCTCGAGCTCCCGGTCAGAGCCTGGAGCCGGCCAGGACTGGGACAGGGTCTCGGGAGAGGTGGGCGAAAAGAGTGGCATCAGGTAGGCCGCGTAAACCATCGGGCCTGCTCGCCGGTTTTCCCGAGCAAGAATGGCGGCGTCAGGAGCGGGCCTCGCGCGGGGGAAGCATGGGGGAGGAAAGCCGACGGCAAAGGCGGGGACGCCTGGGGGGGGGGGGGGGGGGGGGGCGGGGGGAATACACCCGCCGGGGGGGGGCCGGGCCGAAAAGGAGCGGGAAAAAAGGCCAAGGGGGCTTGCCGGGTCCCCCCCTTGGCTTCGGCCCCCGGCCCCCACCCCCCTGCGCCCCTTTTGCCCCCTTGGGTCCCCCCCCCCCCCGGGGCTTGGGGCCCCGTTTTGGGGGGGGGGAAAGGGAGAGAGAGGGGGGGGGAGGGGGAGAGAGAGAGAGAAAACCTCGAGGAGGGGAAGCCATTGTTCTGGGTTGCATTGTGCGCTGTGATGACACACAGGCTCGGCGGCGGCGCGGCCAG